TTCTGTTAAATAGATATGTAATTTGCCTAAGTGTCACAAAATACATTTTTAAAATGTTTTTGTTCATTCTCGTTCGCTCAACACAGATATTGACGAATGTGCCACTGGTAATGATTGTGTGGAGTTAACTACTTGTATCAATCTAGACGGAAGTTATGTATGTAATTGTACGGACGGATACGTCGGCGATGGTCTCTCTACCGGAAGTGGGTGTGAAGGTGGGGTTTTTTGGTTCATTATATACGAATTTACTAGTATTGACATAAAGTATAATTTCGTTATTTGCGTTTATTATTTTATGTAGTGATAATAACGCCAGTTTGACGTGTGACACATTTTTAGACCCCAGTGGAAATATTCAAAAACGAGAACCTATGTTTTGAGTTACTTCTATCAAAGCATTTGTTCATCCCACTGAGTGCATGTCTGTCAAATCTCAATTCCCGGACATGCTTTGAACAATTTTGTAAGTTGGTACAAAGGAAGGTCTTACACATTTAGTAAACATTTGCATGTCGATTTATTCTTGTTTTGCTGACAATTGACTGGATCTGAATCAAAAACTTAATTCACCATGACGTCAGCCGTTTCTCGGGCATACATTGGACTTGATATTGTGAATCCATAGTGAATTATAGATGAACTTCATTTTGTTTTATGATTTGATTCAAAATGGACGATTAACAGTGATTTATTTTTTCCTCCATGTTGTCCAACTTGTTTCGCTTTAACCGATTTTTATATTGATTACCATAGCAAATCATAATGATTCAAATATTCTTTTTAATTGTTGATGTTATTTGATATAACCATCTGGCAGCAAATTGTTGTTTTGTTTTTCAATTTCAATTTCTAGCCCATTTTTAGGACACACTTGACCTCTGTTGCTTACATATTGACATGTTTGTTTAAATTATGGAACAGTTTACGTGATTAGGTCAATTTTGCTTATATTTTGACATAATTGGTTTCTTGTTGCTTTGATTGCCTTGGCGTCTCTATGCTATTAACGGGGACAATGTCATTGACAATAAATTGTACTTATTTAACAGATTATGATGAATGTATCAACGACCAACCCTGTGACGAGTTGGCATTGTGTACGAACACTGATGGAAGTTATAATTGTGAGTGTGCCAATGGGTATGATGGTGATGGGCTCGCGACGGAACAGGCGTCCGGTTGTCAAGGTAGGTCACTTGATCTCGGGAAAGGCCTTATTTGATCATGTACTAACTTTCACCCTTAGTAAGTGGAAGCTAAAGTTACTTTTAAATTAAACATAACATATAGCTGATTATGAACGGAAGCGATAACTGGTATTTGTCCGATCCTTGCTTTTAATTTATTTCATGAAATCTGAAATCCATCAGATCTGAAAAGTAATGAACTTTCCTATAATTCCAGAAGAGGAATTCGACAATAATTCGGTATTGTTTTAATATGTGATCCGGAAAACAAAGCTACACAATACATAATTCGGATGTCCCGATGTGAGTAAATGATGCTGGTGCAATTAATCACATCTTTCAGAATCATGTAGCCAAGTATTTTCTATAGTAATATGGCAAAGGATGTAACACAGAGTTAGTATATTAAGTTCATTTAAACATGTTTTTCTTCAAGATGAGGATGAGTGCGTTTTGCAAAGTGACAACTGTCATGACAACGCCACTTGCACCAACTCAGATGGCTCGTTTGACTGCGTGTGTTTCACTGGCTTTAGCGGCGATGGAGTCACCTGTTTAGGTGAGAAATAAATCATTTGGCTCATTTATAATTCGTCTAATGTATTTTTATAATGTTTCAATGGCGTGAATGACCACAACTTTGTATGACCAAATACGGCTGATCTATATATTCGATGTAATGCATTTACTTGATAAATTTGAAAATATGGAATAATCTTACATTTTTGTCAGTGGTAGAATTTGAGGACAAAATGTCACGTGCTTTTTTCAGCATCAACATTTATTGGCTTGACGTAGTTTTTGAGATAGGAGGTGTGAATACTAATTATACTACACCGCTAGCTTGGTTGAACTTGAGACTACATTCAGGGATGAAAAGAATAATTAATTTGGAACTGTTTTTTTGTTTTACAGACGACGATGAGTGTGTCACCGATGCTAATGACTGTCTGTCAAGCGATGTTGCTACATGTACCAACACAATTGGAAGTTTTCGTTGTTCTTGTAAAGATGGGTACGCCGGTGATGGCGTAAACTTATGTGAAAGTAAGCTCATTTCACGCCACCACTTGTCAATCATCTAACGGTTAATTTGTTTTAGGAATCTTGATCTAAAACCGGTGGCAGTATATATGTATAATTCCCGTCTCCTCTACCAATTATGATATCACGCCGAATGACATGTTTGCACAAACAATTATTATTTGATATTTTCAGATATTGATGATTGTGATGGCATCGATTGTAGTTCCCATGGTAACTGCGAAGATGGCATTAACAAATATAGATGTATTTGTGTCCATGGTTACTATGGTTTGCAGTGCGAAAACGGTAAGCATGTCTTAGTGGAATAGTGAAGTAGCAATATAATAACATAGTTAATATATGTATACCCTGCTCCTTTCTCGGGATAATACTATAGTGAATGTATGGTTGGCCTGCCCACATTCAACAAAATATATAAACATATTAATGAATGATCATTAATGTGAAATGTGTGTGTGTGTGTGTGGGGGGGGGTATTCCTGTTGTTTCCACACGAAACAATTTATATACCAATTGTTCATGTAAGTAGATAGCGTAGACCATATGACAAAAATCTACTGCAAACAAAAAACTAATCTCATGCCTAGAATAACTATACAAATAGTGAGTGAACGCGCAATTAATATATGAATAATAAGAGATTAAACTTAATGAAATCAATTAGAACCAGTGTTCAGTAATGTCCCATCTGACGTTGAACTCAAATTTGATTTTTTTTGTCACTTCGCAGCGTTAAACAGTTATTACTGAACAATATTTTGATAAGAATGCAACATAATACATTTTGTTTAATATATGTATCTATCATAAACTTTACCCAAATGAATGCCGTTCTTTCTAAATCTGGATTCGGTAGATGCTTCGTACGAAGTAACAACGACCACGTATATACCAGACTCATTCTACTGGTCTTTTGATACCGTGGAAGACGCAGCTGACTCACAGGGACCATATTACCCACAATTCAATGCCAATGGCGCTCATAATGGCTACTTAACAACAACCGATGTGTATAAACCCGGCATTGATGACAAGGCAGTCATTTTTCAGCAACTTAACGACGACTGTATCCAGTTTGGGGATGTTTCTACCACCTGCTTTGGTAAGCCGTCAGAGTGTGTCTCAGGACTCACTGTAGCACTGTGGATTCGTCTCAGTATCGGAGCTCAGCCAATATGGCCGCCAAACTATCATCACCTCAGGTAAT